CAGGTCTGGGTTGGCCAAGAGGCAAGAGCCCAGCACCAGAGTTTGGGTCAGGGATGAAGATTACAGATGAGACCCACAGTGAGCAGGAGGAGATGGGGAAGGATTGGCCTCAACTTGAGAAACCTGGACCTCCCCGGCCTGGTGCTCTCCGCAGCACATTTCAGAAGCAGGAAGATCAGGAAGATGAGGTCGAGGGTCAGGGCTGCCAGATACATGCAGCTTATGAGGCAGACCAGGCTTCCCTGCCTTATTTTCTCAGGAGTGGGGAGAGGGCATTTCCTAAATCTGTGCAGCCTCTGACCTCTGACCTCTGACCTCTGCTTCTGTGACAGCAGCACACCACCACCCTTGTGGCCTCTTTCTTCAGTTTTGTAGACCTGAACCTCTGCCCCAGTTCTCTCGATGCCTGTTATTTCTTTCTCCAGTTCTATCATGCCTGTGACCAGCCAGGCATTGTGGTTTTCTGCATCATGGACTACGATGTGCTACAGTTTTGTGATTTCCTGGGCTCCTTAATGTCCGTGTGGGTCACTGTCATTGCCATGGCTCGTTTACAACCTGTGGTCAAGCAGGTCAGTCCAGAATGGGCCCTGGGGGACAACCATAGCTAAAGTCTACCTGAAACCCATTCCCAACCTCTCCCAGAGGGCATTGCCAAGTGCCTCTCTCCATCCTGGCTCGGTCCCTAGAGTCCCCTTTCTCTAGGTGCTGTATTTGCTGGGGGCTATGCTGCTGTCCATGGCTCTGCAGCTCGACCGGCATGGACTCTGGAATCTGCTCGGACCCAGTCTCTTCGCCCTGGGGATCTTGGCCACAGCCTGGGTAAGGGGGGGAGAGCTGTGGGTGGGGCTTCCCAGCGGGACTTGGGTGCAGGGCTCTGGGTATCTGTTCCCCAATTTAAGGTGGGCTCAGACCCGTCACCATCCCTGTTCTGCTCATGGTGCCCATTCTAGTCTTAGCAGTGCCTTTAGGTCACAACCATGGCTCAGAGGAAGCCTGAGAGTGACCAGCTCTGGCTTGGGTTCCAGGGCCTTGCATTCCTGAGCCCCACTTCTCTGCCTCCCCTAGACAGTCCGCAGCGTCCGCCGCCGGCACTGCTACCCGCCCACGTGGCGCCGCTGGCTTTTCTACCTGTGTCCAGGCAGCCTTATTGCAGGCAGTGCCATCTTACTCTACGCTTTTGTGGAGACACGAGACAACTACTTCTACATTCACAGCATTTGGCATATGCTCATCGCTGGCAGTGTGGGCTTCCTGCTGCCCCCTCGTGCCAAGACTGACCACCGGGTCTCATCTGGAGCCCGGGCCCGGGGCTGCGGTTACCAGCTGTGCATCAATGAGCAGGAGGAGCTGGGCCTTGTGGGCCCAGGAGGGGCCCCTGTCAGCAGTATCTGTACCAGCTGAGAGGGCCTTTGGGCCTGGCCCTTGGGGAACATGAACCCTTCCTAGGGGCAGAGAACCCTTCCTGGGGTTTTTCCAGGCAGCATGGAGTCTTCCCAGGGATGAAAGACAAGTTGTATTTCTTGAGGACTTGGAGCCTTTCTTGACATGGAACTCTTTCAAGGACCTGGTATACTTCCTGAAGGCCTGAAGTAATCCTGCATCCAAGGAGTCCTTCAGGACTGTAGCCTGTGCAGGGCCACAGAGCCCCTTGGGACCAAGCAGGCCCTACTAGGGCGTGGAGCCCCCCCAGGGACATGGAGCCCTCCTGAAGGCGTGGATTCCTTCCTGGGAATATAGAGCCCTACCAGGACGTGGCATCATTCCTGAGGAAGTGGAATCCATTTGGGGGAAACTGAGTCTCCAGATCTTCCTAGCAACTCAACAACTCTGGCTTCGGGTCTCCTGCCCAGAAGCAGCATCTGGACTGTGCTGTGCTGGGAGGGGAATTGCTGGACAGACAGAACTGGGCCTCGGGGCTGGTATCTTGAGTTGATGCAGGTGGAGTCTGATGTGTCTCCAATGAAGTATTTGCTGGTTCTGTGCTGCCTTTTTTTCTGGGGCCAAAGGTGTGCGGAGGGAAAGGAAAGAGGGACCTGGAGGAGATCAATAGGGGTGATGGGAGCCCAGCTGGAATGAGCTGCTGGAGCTACTGTCTGAGGCTTTTTGTATCAGGCTGCAGCAGCTGGGAATAGGGAGTTGTGAGTGTGTGTGTGTGCTGAGATGATTTAAATCGGTGAGACAGATCTTCCTTGTGGTATCCACACCCAGTAGGAAGGAAGCTGAGGTCCCAGAAAAGTGGACTAGCAGGTACAAATCTCAGGTGCATAAGAAATATCACAAGAATGTAACTTCTGTTTTGAGCTCCATTTTGTCTTAGTGCCAGACATAGAATCTTTTGTCAATTTGGAGTTTCTTCTCTTTCCACAAGAGTCCAGCTGAGTCCCGAGGACCTTATATAATGTAAAGATGTTGGGAGAGTGTTCTTTCTGGTCACCACAGTTCAATTGGCTCCCAGCCCCTGAGATGTCTATCATTCCACCTGGTCCCCAGTCAGCGGTGCAGGTAGGCCATGCTGGAGCGGATTCTTGGTCCTGTCTTGTAACCCCTTTTAGTCCTGAGGCTCTCTATCACTTCTGTGCCATGTGCAGAAACAGACCTTGTCCACCCAGACACACCTTGAAGCCATTTCTACTCTGGGGTCCTCCTCTGGCTTTTACTGGGACAACAAAGCACGAGTTATTCCAGCTTTTAGATCCTGCAAACCTGTCCCAGGGGCTTGGCTTGGGGGGTAGGGGCTCAGGGCCCCTCCCTTTTTGTGCCAATGCTCTCACTGTGTCCCCTCCTTCCTAGTTTAGTGGTCTTTTGTTAATCTGGAGGTGAGAAAGCCTTACATTTACTTATCATATTTTCTCCTATATCTTTTGTCTGTGCCAGCGATTTTCAACTGGTGTGCTGCAAGAATTTTTAAAACATGCAATACCTGACTCTCTAGTCAGGGGCACTGAGCTCTTTTCCCCTTAGATTGTCAAATAAAAAATGATAACAGCCAACACAATAATAGCCAGTGTGAGTGAATAAAAATTATACCTATTTTTTTTGTCAGATCAGCAAAATATATATTTTTTGGTGTGCTGCAAGAATTTTAGTAATTAGTTTGTGTGTGCCATTATATGAAAAAGGTTGAAAATCGCTGCTCTATGCCTTAATGTTCCCTTTGCCCTCTGGTCTCTGTGCTCACATCTCCTCCTTGGGGGCACTGAGCAGAGAGTCATATAGCCAACTAACCAGCAAGAAGGGGTGAGGGGTGAGCTAGGTGTTGTTCCTGTTTCAGAAATATTATTCCATCACATGAAGATGTATAGAGCCAGGTCACCAGGACCCATGGACCCAAATAGCTGGGGTTCAGGACAGAGTCACAGAATAGAGATGGGCCCTGAAGAAGAGGGAGACATGATGCTCAGCGGCACAAGGCTCAGTCCCCAGATGGTGACATCGTGAGGGCTTCTGAGTGACAGTTCAGTTCAGTGAACCTTCTACAGGGAAAGCTCTGGGGAGCGGCAGAGACGAGCCAGACCCAGGGGAATCCTGCCCGGAAAGAGCTCACATTGTGGGGAAATACATTAATACAAAGCAGAACTGGATACAGACTGACTGAAAGGTTCCAACAAAGTGCTGTAGGATAGAGAGGAAAGAGAACACTTTCAAAGTGCATCAGGGAAGGATGCGGAACGAAACGGTGTCTGAGACAGTCCCGGTCTCACGGAGAACAGCATGGACAGGAGGTGGCTGTGCGGGCAGGACAGATACTGTAGTGAGGGGTGGCCATGAGAAGGGGCTAGTGGAACATCAGGCTGAAGAAGCAGTGTGTGTGTGTGTGTGTGTGTGTGTGTGTGTGTGTGTGTGCGCGTGCGCGCGCACGCGCGCATTCTGGAGGGTCTGAGGACTCAGATGAAAAACTTAGACTTAATGCTGTGGTAGTGGGGTGACATCAGAGGTTCTTGATCAGAAGAGTGATGAATCAGGGTTTGACCTAAGCAGCAGACCACTCGGAGTGATACAGGGATTTGTTAGAGAAGGAACCTATACAGTTGTGGGAGCAGTTGGAGAAGTTTGTGCAAAGCTGTTACCTCTGCATCTGGTGTTGGACGGGAAGTTGCTGTGGGCACCAGGGCTGGTGGGGATGAAATAGGGAAGGTAAGGCACACTAGCACCCAGGAGGACTAACTGGAACCTGTGCCTGGCTCTCACTGCCTTCCATCTCAGTGACACTGGTGACCTGCATGCGAAGCTGGTAGTCTTTGCTACGGAGCTGCACTTGGCACAGGACGGAACTGCTGGAGGAGGTGATCGGGTGGGACTTGGCGGGCTGCACCTACAACCATTGAGCCAGCAGGTCAGCGGCAGCACGTGATGCTCCTGCAGCATCTGCTGCTGCTTCAGTGTCGCCTTCCAAATCTCTCGTGAAGTTTTTGTGGTCCATCCTAACCCAGAACCACTGAGGGAAGGAAATTCTGGGAGGCACAGTCTCACCTGGTTAGTTTGACTCGGTGCAAAGCCACCATGAGTGCACTCATGGGCACTTTCCTGGGACGATTAACCTGGCGTCAGCCAGTGAAGGGTGGGTGGTCAGAGATGAGCAAGGCAACCCCCTGGTAGCTTTTGGGTTGACTGTAGGATGGTGTGGCAGTCAGTAGGCTATTCACAACTTTCTCAGTCTCCCTCTCCTTCCAGACACATGGGAGGTGTGTCTCCCCTCTCCCTTGATGTGCCTTGATTGGCCAATAAAATGCAGGTGGAAATAACATGCCACTTCTGAGTGGAAGCTTGAGGAGTCGGTGCAGGCCTTGTCATTCTCCTTTCCTTTTGTCATGGTGACCAGCAGTGTTCCAGTAGTTGCTCTATTGTACTGAGTCCCAGCGGGGTGAAGATGATGACACAGAGCAGAATGCACCCCCCTCCGCCCCCAGCCTGCCTCTAATGGACCCGTAGCATGAGCGGAAAATAAAGCCCCATGGTTTTAAGCCGCTGAAGTTGTGAAGTTATTCCCTCAGTATAACCTAGCCTGTCCTGCTGGGTAGGGCTGGAGAGCAGCAGGAAAAGCGGAACATTTTCCTGGAGAGCAGATTTCTGCCCAGCAGAGCGATGGCAGCAGCTTTTACCTCTGCATTTCTCAGGCTGTAGATAATGGGATTCAGTGAGGGTGTCACAACCCCATAGAACAACGCAATAATCTTATCCAAGTCAGGGTCCTTGGCCTCGGGCTTCAAGTACATGAAGGAGATAGTCCCATAGAAAATCACTACCACTGTGAGGTGGGCAGAGCAGGTGGAGAAGGCTTTGCGCCGGCCTGCCGCGGAGGGCACCCTCAGGATGGCAGCCAGGATGAAAATGTAGGACAGGCAGATGAGCAGGAGCGGGACCAGGGAAAGGACAGCTGTGGCCACCATTAAAAGCAGTGCATTGAGAGACACGTCCCCACAGGCCAGTTTCAGCACTGCCAAGATCTCACAGAAGAAGTGGTTAATGACATTGTGGCCACAGAAGGGGAGGCTCCAGGTGACAATGGACTGCAGCAGTGAGTTGGCAAAGCCTGTCCCCCAGCTCAGCACTGCCATCAGCATGCAAGTCTGTCCACTCATGAGCTCTGAGTACCTAAGAGGCTGGCAGATAGCCACATAACGGTCGTATGCCATCACGGCCAAGAGCAGGCACTCCGTGGAGCCTAGCGCCAGGGTCAGGTACATCTGCAGGGCACAGCCAGGGAAAGAGATGGTCCTTTGGGCTTCCAGGAAGTTGACCAGCATGAGGGGCTCAAAGGAGGATGTGCCACAGATGTCTATGAGAGAGAGATTGCTGAGGAAGAAGTACATGGGGCTGTGCAGGCGGGGGTCCAGCATGTTCAGCCCTATGAGGAGGGCGTTCCCCAGCACATTCACCAAGTAGATGCCCAGGCAGAGCACAAACAGGACCATCTCTATGTTATGGTGGCCGTGTAGCCCCAGCAGGACATATTCTGTCGCAGCTGTCTGGTTGGCCCCACCCATCTCAGTTTCCCTCCTTTCAAATCTGGACCACACAGGTATTAGCAAAAGCTCTGGCGGGCCTGGGAGCCAAGCATCCTGAATATGTGCCCTGGGGCAGGTCAGCCCCACCTCTGGAATTTAATTTTACCCTCTGCATATCGAGAGACTTAGACCTAAGGTCTGAAAGCTGGCCCTCCTGGCTCTGTAGTTCTGACTCGACCTCGGGGAGATGAGACACTTTCTAGTCCCTTAGGCTCTTTGTTGTCCCCCCCCCCCCCCAGGGTGGGCTCAGGAGACAATAGTGTAGGATTCACATTTGACATGCTCCTTTGGAATTTAGAGTTTTTGGCTGTTAAATGGAAGCATCTTTTCTAGGTTAGGACTTCATATGGCTGAATCATGCCCGTAGTAGTTCAGATTCATTCATTGCTGAGTAGTTTTGAATGCCTACTCTGGGGCTAGGTATTGTTTAGGTGCTGTGGCTACGGCAGTAAGAAAAGTAAGTGGACAGAAAGATGCCACGCCCATCACAAGGGCTTCCCCTCCTCCCTGGGTTAGGTGAGAGGCGCTCTGCAGGGCAGGCAGGTGATGGACGGTGCTCACCTAGTGTTCCCTGGGGACATAAAGGGGGAACATTTCCACTCCACGAGGTGTGTAAGCCTGATTTCTGGTCATCACTCCTTAAGGAATCATAGACCATCTGCTGATGTTTAAAAGAACATATAAGGACATACATCTCCCAGTAGAGCCACTGGCCACAGGACTTAATCCTAGTCCTGAAAGCCAAGTGACTTCTTCTTGACCTCCATAATGCTCTTTAGGATAAATGACAAGGGCACTGGTGTCACACAAGGAGGGGAGACCCAGTTCTAACCTGGCAGGAGTGATGTCAGTCACTGACGCGCTTTACGCTGGGAGGGTGGGGACAGGCTGCAGTTTCCTCCCAGGTGGCTTCACTGCCGCTCTGAGCTGGTCCCACTGTCTTCGTGGGAAAGGCCAGTGCCAGGTGTTCACTGGAGGAAGCTGAAATGTCACCAAGGCACAGCGGTCTTCTTGGACAGGAAAGCTGTCTTATGGCCCAGGTGACCTCTGGTCTAAAGGAGAAATAGGAGCTGAGCGTGACTCTTATTTGGAAGATATAATCACCAATGTCCTGTGACACAGCATTGGAGCCCTGTCTGTCCTTCAGGGATGGATTTTCCCCTCAGTCTTCCTCCTGAACTGCACCTACCATTTGTAGGGGCGGAAGGGCTCACCCTCTCCTGAATAAACCTTGTCTTTTCCCAGCGCTACATCTTTGCCTAAGAATTTCCCTTTTGTGGGCACATCCTCCCTCCCTTCCCCAGTGGGGGCATTCCTCCTCACTGCTTGGAGCCCAGCTCACCTCTCCTTTCCTTCTCCCTCCTGCCCCTGAAGTTACCTGCTCTCTGCTGATGCCCTGAGCCCTTGGCCAGCTCTGTGTGTTGTTGTGTGGTGTGCTCTGCACCTGTTTCCTCGACTACACTTGCGAGCAGGACTCTGTCTCCTTCCCTTCGGCACCTCCTACAGTGAGTGCTGCCAAGGGCAGTCACTCAACAGGCAATCAATGCCCGATTCAAAAAACCCCAGCGTGGCATCCATGTCAGCACTAACTAGCTGTGCCGCTCAGATGAAACATACATGTGAAGCTGCTGGTGAGCTGCCCAGCACTAGCGAGTTGTTACTGAGGCTCCAGATCAAAAGACTTGTCTTCAGCCACAAGGCACCTGCTGGGCTGTGCTTGACACCTCTGGGGTGTCAGCCTCCTACCTGCAGTAACGGCTGCTCTTTCTGAAGAGATAAATCATAACACATTCATGAAAATTAGAACCAGCCCATGGCCCCAAAGAACTAAGTCTGTGTCCAGAAAGTACCATGCTGCCAGGTGACTGACAGCTTTGACTGCAATGCGGGCACAGAACGGGGCATCAGGGTGCGGCTGCTGTCTCCTTTGTGGTTCAGTTAAGATGAGCTAGGCTTTGCTGCAGTAACACACAGCCTCATAGTTTTAGTGGCTTACCATGACAGAGGTTTATTTTTTTCTCATGCTACCTCTCCAATGTAGGTTTTCAGGGGGCTCTGTTCCATGTCTTCCTCCTCAGACACCCTGGCTGATGGAGGCTCCTCCACGTGGGACTTCACCCATTGTTATGGCTCAGAAAGAACACACTAGAGCATCTCACACCAGCAGTTAAATGCTGTGACCCAGAAGTGACACGTGTCACATGTGCCCACGACCTGCTGGCCGTGTGTAATCCTACCACATGCCCGGAAGGAGGAGACTGGAAATGGAGCTGGGTATTTGGCTATGATGGCTTTCACAGTACGCCGAGAAAACCACTGCATCTATCAACCAATGTCTCACATTGTCATGTCCTGGAAAATCAGGTTCACAGAGAGACAGTGTCTCTGAGCATAATTGTCTAATTCCACTCCCCAGATTTACACCTCCTGAGAGGCAGGGTGATGCCAAGAAATGGGACTGGAATTGAGGGAACTAGGTTTGATTCTTGCCTTTCTTCTGATTCTGCTATATGACCTTGGTCAAATTTCTCCTTTTGTGAAATGGAACCATTCAATTAAGTGGTCTCGTATTCTATTTTTTATTTTATTTTAATCTTCATCCAAGGACATTTTTGCATTCATCTTCAGACAGAGCGGGAGGGAGAGAGGGAGGAAGAGAGAGAGAGAAAAAAAACATCGATGTGAGAGAGACACATTGAGTGGTCGCCACCCACATGACCCCAGCTGAGGCCAGGGACAAACTGCAACCAAGATACATGCCCTTAGCAGGATCCAAACCTGGGACTCTCTGGTCAGCAGGCCAACGCTCTAACGGCAGAGCCAAACCAGCCAGGGCATGTCTGGTGTTCTATAACCTCCCAAACATATCTCACATCTGTCTAGCAACTTCCAACCCTGAAGTCTAACAGACCCAGGGTTACTTTTCAAGGTAAATGTATCAATTTCATTGGCTGATACATCTAGTATGAACCATTTAATACTTATTTTAGGCTACACAAATTATTTTAAAAGTTAGTGACCCAACAAGATGAACCCTTCGGTTCCAGTTTCCCTGGCACGCCGGGATCTTGGACTCCTGCTTCTCCTCCATGCTGTACAGCAAGCAGAGCAGATGAGTGTGGGCTTTGGAGTCAGACTGACCAAGGCCCAAGTCCCAGATCTGCCACTTGCTAACAGTTTCCTTGGCCTCACCTTCCTTACCTGTAACGCAGAGATAAGAATGGTATTTCCTTGTGGGGTTATTTTGAGGATCCAGTGAGATGATGTATGCAAAGCCCTTAGCACAGAGCTTGACCCATGGCAAGGAATCAATAGCAATAGCTGATATTATTAGTAGTATTACATCCTCTTCCCTAAGCAGAAATTCTGGTGTTTATATTTTTAAAAGATTTAGTGAGAATAGTCAACACGCTACGGATTCTCCTTACCTGCTACCGATCGGCCCAGAGGCATCGGCACGTGTGGGTAGCTGGAGCAGGCTGCCAGGTGAGCTGACCAACAGCAGAGCTGGGAAGTGCCAAGTTTGTTACCAGCAGACACACTGTGCTGGGATGGGCCAGGGCCATGCCCATGAGGACCAGCCTCCTGACACACACAACTTGCCTGCTCCCTGCCTTCAGGGACTTCACAGTCCCTGCCCAATTTAAAGTTCAAACTCTGCAACTACTCAAGTTTGCAGGTTTGATAGCTGTGGGGCTTCAGAGACCCTAGGTTCCTTGTGCTGTCCCAGGAGGCCTGGGTGGGCACAAGAGAGACACTGGACAGAGAATCTGAAGATGGGTCTCACTGCAGTCCTGCCCCTTGGATCTGAGGCTTGGGGACCGTGTCTCCCCATCCTAGACCTGGGTGTATTAGTCTGTGAAATGGGCTGTCCCCTTCCAGCATTGTTGTAAGGACCGGGATTAATGGAAGTTTAAGGAAAGAGAATCGCTGCATAGGGTAGGACACCCCAAGCACTTATGAGGGACCATTTAAGTCTGGGATTTTAGTCAGTGCACAAATTTTCACAGGTTTCTTTTCCCTTTCCCTTCCCATTTCTGACTCTTTCCTTTTCTGTTTCCTTCCCACAATGAAAAATAACTTGACACAGTTTAGGGACTAAAAACAGCCTTAAGTAAATCAGCAGCTGCAAAATTTTCCATTATTTTATGACTTGGCTTTTGGAATTTTTATCAAGAACACAGGTCAAGATCGTGATCACTTATTTTCTTTTAAAATTTATTTTTAGTCCGGGCCGGTTTGGCTCAGCGGTTAGAATGTCGGCCCGTGGATCAATGAGTCACGGGTTCGATTCTGGTCAAGGGCATGTACCTCGGTTACGATTTGTCCCCGGCCCTGATGGCAACCAGTTGATGTGTCCCTTTTACTTCGATGTCTGTCTCTCTCTTCCTCTCTCTCCCTCCCGCTCTATCAGAACAAAATGAAAAAATGTCCTCGGGTAAGGATAAATAAATACATAAAAAATAAAAAATTTATTTTTAGTCTGGCCGGTGTGGTTCACTGGTTGAGCGTCGACCCATGCACCAAGAGTCACCAGTTCAATTCCTGGTCAGGGCACATGCCCAGGTTGTGGGCCCGATCCCCAGTGGGGGGCATGCAGGAGGCAGCCAATCGATGTTCTCTCTCATTGATGTTTCTATGTCTCACCTTTCCTCTCAAAATCAATAAAGAAAAATATTTTAAAAATAAAATAAAATTTATTTAAAAAATTTTATTGAATTTATTGGGGTGACATAAAGCAGGAAGAGCACAATGAGAGGTGCAAAGTGGGGTGGCCTCCTGGTGCAGGTGGCATTTGTGCTGGGCCTTGAGGGTCAGCAGTCTCTTACACGTGGAGTTATGTGCTGGGTTGGGGCTGCTTTGTGGGAAGAACCACGAAGAGCACAGCGCTGGGCAGCGCCGGGCAATGCCAAGGCCCACTCCAGACTGGTGTGTGTGGCTGTCAGGAGGGAGACTGGGGCAGCGGGCTGTGGGGTCAGTCAGGCCAACAGGGCCAGCTTATAAGGGCCATGAATGCCCCACTGAAGAGGTTGCACTTTGTCCTGAGAGCAATGGGGAGCCATTTAGGGGTTTCAATCAGGAGAGTGACGCCATCACATGTGCTTTTCGAAAGGTCCTGTTGGCTGCCCCTTGGAGGAGAGACGGGAGGAGGAGCAAGGCTGGACTCGGGAGGCCAGAGGGGCGCGGAGCGGGTGTAGGCACACAGGGAGGGATGCTGAGAGCTGGCCCAGGGCAAGGCCGGGGACGGAGCAGAGGAGCGACTGGGAGCCATTCTGTGCACGTCAGGTGGACTTGGCGCTGCCTTTCTGGGGTGAAGATTCCAGAAATACAGCCCTTTGCCCCATACCATCCCCACTTTAGGCACGTGAAGCCTCATCTACTAACCTGCAGAGTTACTTGGAGGTCCATCGTCTGCCCCACACCTTCCTGGCAGCCTCCTTCACCTCCTTGTTCCTCAGGCTGTAGATGACAGGGTTCAGCATGGGCGTGACCACCGCGTAGAGGACCGTGAAGACCTCGTCAGAGACTCGGGCCTCCTTGCTCTTGGGTTTCATGTACATGAAGATAATAGTGCCATAGAAAAGCAGCACCACAGCCAGGTGCGCCGAGCAGGTGGAGAAGGCCCTGCGGCGCCCAGCAGCGGAGGGCATCCTCAGGATGGTGGCCAGGATAAGCATGTAGGACAGGCAGATGAGTGCCAGGGGCACCGGCAGCAGCAGAATGGAACCCACCAGCAGGAAGACCTCGCTGACTGACGTGTCACTGCATGCCAGCTTCAGCACTGCCAGGATCTCGCAGGTGAAGTGACTGACCACGTGGTGGCCACAGAAGGGCAGCCTCATGACGATGACTGTCTCAGTCACTGACTTGAAGAGACAGAGGACCCAGGCGGCTCCTGCCAGCAACAAGCAGAGCCTGTGGCTCATGAGCACCGGGTACCTGAGCGGCCAGCAAATGGCCAGGTAGCGATCGTAGGCCATGATGGTGAGTAGCAGGCACTCTGTGGAGCCTGTGGACAGGCTCAGACACATCTGGATTGCACAGCCAATAAAGGAGATGGTCTTCCAGGTCGACAGGAGGTGGACCAACATCAGGGGCACAAAGGTGGACGTGTAGCAGATGTCCAGGATGGAGAGGTTTCCCAGGAAAAAGTACATGGGCGTGTGCAGGTGGACGTCCAGTACACTCACTGCTATGATGGCTGTGTTCCCCAGAAGTGTCACCAGGTACATGGCCAAGCACAGAGGGAAGAGCAGGCGCTCCAGGGCTGGGTAGCCAGAGAATCCTTTCAGAAAGAACTCAGAGAACTCTGTCTTATTGACCAGCTCCATACTGCAGGGTTCTGGAGAGCCACACAGCTGTGATGGAGGGAAAGAGGGTGTAGGATGGTGGGGAGCCCAGGGAGCCTATTTTGGGATGAGGCTTATTGCTAGGGTCTTTTCCAGCTTTGATACACACTCTCTCTGTGACTTTGGGCAATCCCTGTACTTATAGGCTACAATTTATCAATGTGAAGAATGATTTAAGTCAGTATTTCACTAAGAGAGTGTTAATGAAAATGTTAGTAAGCAAACTGAAAAGCCAAATCAAGACAACAGGATTAATAAAAAATAAATAAAGCTCTTTACTACAGGACTCTCAGAGCCTTTAATATGCCAGTGTGATTTGTGACTTTCCAAAAGCAGTGTACAACATGTAATTCCCAAACTTATTTTGACCATGTATCTTCCTTTTACAGAGCACCCCTCAACCTACTGTGGATAAATATTCAGTGGGCTGGACCATAGATCCATACATGCACCAAAATCACCTGGAAAGTTTGTTAAAAACCATTGCTGGGCCCCTTCCCCAGAGTTTCTGACTCAGTAGGTCTGGATGATGCTGTTACTGCTGGACAAGGTACCACACTTTGAGAACCAATGGGCTCGCCGGTCTCTGAGGGTCCTCCTGATTTAAGGAAGCCTCTGAGCCATTGCTTACCTGCTCCCGCTGCGGGAATGCCCTTCTCCTTTCCCTCAGCCTGCAGAGATCTGACTCGTTTCTTCAGGTCATATCTGGTCTCCATGCATGAAGCATACCTCGTGCCTTGCATTGGAGGGGCTGCTGGCCCCTCAGCTCAGTGGGCTCATCCACCTGTCTCCCCACAGGGCCTGCTTCATCACTACTCTGTGAATTGACCTTCAGCCTCTGCTTTCATCATAGTTTTTGAGCTAAAATTTATGGACCTCTTAGCTTAGCCCCAAACTGATTTTCTCTGGGCCTGAGCCTGAGCTGCTTTGACCTCGTGAATTCCTAGGGCATCAGCATGAAAAGCACCCTAAGGGGCCACCTAGTGGGAGCTCCCATGTGCAGGTGGGGAAACTGAGGTCACAAAGTGGGTCCCCAGCAAGGTGAATCTAGATCCAGTACTCCCCACACCGTGACTCCCACACCATGCTTAGAGCACATGTTTGCTTCTGTCAAGCCCCAAATGATGGTGGTTCTTTTACTGCACTAGATGGATGTCTTTCTCTCATGTCCTTCCTGCAATCTTCTCACTAGGTAAGGAGCATGATTCACTCTTTCCTGAGTGTTTCAGGTACTTGGCATAGTGTCAATAAACCCAGGGGACATACTGTCCAAGCCTAGGTCTGTGTGGAGCCCCAGTTCCTGTCAATGCTTCGCTTGCATGAAGCAATTTGTTTCTTTTAGTTCTCTTGTGTTTATTCTTTCTAGCAATCGAGAAGTGACTGACTTCCTACCACATACCACATTGTGCTAGGCATTAGGGGGATAACTTGGGACACGTGTGCTGTCAGGTCACTGAATCCGGACCATTCCCAGACAGAAATCCTCTCCAATTTCCATGCCTCGCTTCATCCTGCTTCTGTTCGCATCTTCCAGTGACAGGAAGCCCATGACTCCCATACACACATTTTTACTCTACTTCAGAGCTCAAGGCCACTTCTGCAAGGAGAGCTTTGGCCTAGCGCTGGGACTTCGGGTCTTGCCTCAGCTTGATTGTGTACAGAGACATTGTGGGGCCAGGGGATATGAGCTTTGAGCTTCCTCCAAGACTCAGCTGGAAACTGAGGCGGGGTTCATAGAGAGGCACCCCATTTAGCAGAGTGTCGATAGCAGCAGGCACTGTGCCGGGGCTGGGGCAAGACACACAGGTGGTATTGTGTTTCCTGCAGCCCCTGTGACGAGGTGAGGCCACCATGCTCTACATACTATAATTCACCCCAAATGCTAGCAAACATCCGCAGCCACTGGCGACCTGTTGGAAAGCACACAGACTCACATAGGGTCATCACATGTGCACCCACCTACCCGTGTATGCACAACACCCTCTAACACCCAGGTACACACATATGTGCCTACAACAGGGGTGGAGAACCTTTCTTCTGCCAAGGACCATTTGGATATTTATACCATCATTCACAAGCCATATAAAATGATCATCTTAAAAATTAGCCTGCTGTAGTTGGCCAGGCTAATTTGGTGAGGTCTGTGATGTTAGCTTGTATTGATTTCATAGGCCTTATATGGCCTGAGGGCCGGACGTTCCCCACCCCTGGTTAGGAGCACATGTGCACACACAGGCTCATGTGTGCACATGAACAGTCATTCCCCATGAGTGTATGTGCATATGTGGTAGGCACTCTTTTTTTTTTTTTGTACGTGCCCCTAGCGGGAACCAAACCTGAGACTCTCTGGTCCGCAGGCTGATGCTCCAACCCCCGAGCCAAACTGGCCAGGGCTGTAGCTGGCACTCTTGCTTTTACATGCGCCGCGCACGCGGACACACACACACACAGAACTGGTCTTGCTGACCCTTGGACCTGTGGCCAGAGTGTCAGAGGACTGGAGGGAGGTTTGTGGAGAACAGGCAGGGGTGGCGAAAGTGTCACTAGAGAAGGAGCAGCCCTGAGGGTGGGGAGCAAACTCTGCCTGGGATGAACCAGGAGGACAAAGAAATCCCAGAACAGGGACAAGGTCACCAAACCAGCTGAATCTGTCTGCTTCCCAGTGTGAGTGCTGAGGATCTGAGCCCCGCTGCTCTGCCGGTCCTCCTTCAGCTGGAGGATGGGGCCCGCGGGAAGAGGGGGACAGAAAGGTTGTAGCTCTGGGGCTCCAGTTCCCAAAGCAGGGCAGGAAGCTTTGTCTGCAGAGCCCACAGTGTCCATTCTCTCCCGGCTACCAAAAAGCAGTTCAAATGCCACCTCCACTGGGAGCCTTTATCCTCTCCCAGGCCACCGTGAGCCTTCTCTCCTTTGTGCCCACAGCCCTGTGTTTGCACCTCCAGGATGGTGCTCACCTTTCTTCCTAATGTCCTGCCTGTCGCCTACCCTGCTGGCCCACAGGGATGCCACCACCCTCTTCTCACTCAGGTCCTGAAGGCCAAATCGAAGTTCCCATCCTGGCCACAGCCAACTTCTTCCTGTCTTATGGCAACTTCCTGGGGCTAAGACAAATCGAGAGTGAGCAGGCTGCCAAATAGGAGCTGTTCCTAGCCCAGAGGACACCACAGAGCTGGGAGGGGGCTTACAGACCGGCAAGGCCACCCCCTTGTTATCCTGGGGAAACGGAGGCCCAGGGAGGGAAGGGGCCTGCCCAGCATCGCACAGTGAGTTAGAGGGGAAGCCAAGGCTCCAGTCATTCCTTGGGCTTCTGACTCCCAGCCTAGGCCACTTCCTCTGCCCCCACACCCCATTTTTTCACTTACCATCAGGGTCTTCCAGATGCATAACCCTGGCTCCCTGAGAGATATTTCAGAGGGTGTAAGACCAGGGACCTTCTGTGGCTGGAGCTGAGGGAACACAGGTCAAGCAACAGGTCCAAACCCTGGTGGGGTTTCATGCTGACCCCGCTTTCCAAACTGAGAAACTGCACCCAGACTTTCGTAGATTTAGTGAAGTGTTTGCAACTTGAGAGAATTAAGTGGAACTTTTAGAATTTGGTGGTATTAGACAAAGTGCTCAGACTTCAGTGGAGGTCTCTGAAGTATGTCAGGTTTGGTGGAATTAGGAAATTCTGTTGGGCTGAAGGCTGAATGGGGTCCAAAGTAAGTTACTGTGGCAGCCAGGGACTCCCTGACCTGGACAGCTCCCAGCTCCATCCCGGGGAGCAGGCAAAACGAAAGAGGCACCTTTCAAAGTTCCCTGTGCACCAAGGGACTGAGCAATCCCCAAGGCAATTTAGAGGGAGAGAGGAAATGTGCCCAACTTAGAAACTTTGGGGTGCTTCAGGGATGATGTCTCAAAGACCCAATTACACAGAGTCTATTTAGAAATCTTAATTGGTGTGGAAAAGTTGGAGGAAGTGGCTCAGGGCCAGGGATCCACCTTGCAGGTCAGTCCCCAGAAGAGCTGGCCAGGAATGTTTACGGAATAAATAAATGAATGATAGATGAACAATTAAATGAACGCATAAGCAATTCTCAATGAACAAATTTAAAAATGAATGAGCGAGTGAGTGAACAAGTGATACGCAGAGTTGCTTTCCAGGAGAGTTAGAAGTCTTGGCTCAACTGTCATAGGGATTTTAAGAAAATGCAAAATCTGGAAAAAGTGTAATAGAGGAGTGAACTAGATGAAGAGAGACAACATTTTGGACTATCAGAACAGGAAAGGCCTCCAGGCCATCTTGACCAAACCCCATTCGGACAGGAAAACCGCCCTAGAGAGGTGAAGGGGTCAGCTCGGTGTCACCTAGTGAGACCGAGTATGGCCCCAGTTCGCTCTAGGACACTGCTGTGTCCACTTCTGAATCATATATCCCTCCGTCAGTGCAAAGCCAGCCTGCTCAAGTCAGTCGATGACTGGGTGCCTCTCACCTCCACCTGGCCCCTCCACCCAGCTTTCAAAACAGGTATCTATACTGTTCCTCCTGAGGTTCCTTCTGGTTCTCAGAGTCCATGCTTCTGCCGGCTTAAGGGCCTTTTAATCAAATAGGTCATTTTGTTTTAGGTTTTGTTACTATTGTTAGATTTTTATTTACCTATTTATTCAACTTGCCTCTCCGGTGCTACAAGCAGGGTGCGTGAGATCGGGCCCCAGGTGTTCTCTGGATGCTGCACCTGGGGAGACCTCCACCCTATGAGAGGCCGGGGGGAGGAAGAGAGCCCCAATCTCTCAGTTGCACTGACCATTAATCTAGCCTCTGCAACTCAGAGTTGGAGGGGATGAGAAATATGGTGGGTTATTCTGCTGCATGATAAATATGCTCTTGAAAAAATTGTGCATTTGAAAAAATTGTGTATCCTGCTATTATTGAGTGGATTCTTCTATTCATGTGAATTATGCCAAGTCGGTTGGGAGTATAGTTCGAATCTTCTATATTCTTACTCATTTTCTGTCCACTTGTTTTACAATTATTGAGCGAGGGGTGATGAAATCTT